ATTATTTATCGAGCTTTCATCAATCTGATATTTTTTAATTGCTTTTAAAACTAATAGAAGGTTATTATATTTGATCAATTTCTCATTCACAGTGCTATACTGGAAAATATTCTAAATGAAATATGCTTAAAAAAACAACTTTGTCCGTGGAGCACTGAGATGGGATGAGATACCAGGAACAAGGTGTTTTTTTTTTCGCATTTTGCACTAATCGATGGTTTTAAAGTGTTAGTCTATGAATAGGTTTGTAAGTAAATGAACGATTCCCCATACAAACTCTTAGCCCTCTTTATGGTTTTATTATTAGCCCTTTTAGGTTCCCACTGCAGGGGTTCAGGTCATTTTTAATCTCTCGTCTGTGCGTAATATCTGTGTGCCGCGGTTGACAGTTGGACCATTCTGCTCCTTAGATCGCGACAATACTTAACATTACATAAGATTATGGAATTCTGTTTTCCAAAGTCCTAGCCTGCGTAAATTATAATTAGCTTCCCGTAAGTAAATGAAGTTATAAAATCAATCCAGTAGTTTTGGAGCCTTTTCAACGCAAACAACCAATCATTTCAATTCTGTTTATAATATTAGTATAAATAATGTTCAACCAAATGATAAAATAGTAGTTGACTCCAAGTTATGAAAAGATATGGACAGCAAAGATATCTCCAATTGTAGTGTTTGATCTACCTACATTTGAAAGTGGATATGTTTGCTAGACAATCCAGCTCGGGTCGAATTGTGGTAGAAACTTCATAACACGAGAGCTTACGCTCGTGAAGAGGGCCACACGCAGTATTTTATGTATCATCGTCATCAACCAGTATAACGGATCCCCAAAGTATTGAATTGGTTAGTAATCAATACCTTGTAGAAGAAATAACGTGTAGGTAATTATGATGAAAGTTATAATTAAAAATAAGCTAAAAATAATTAAAATTATTTTGAAAATAATAACAATGTGTCTGAAATTGAATTATTTTACTAGGTGATTACGTCTTATATATTGATATTAGGAAACGAAGCGAGTTAGCGTCAGCAAATAAAATTTCAAATCTTCGTATTTCAACAGAAACCTATACCGAAATCAAACTATACCCTCGCGATAGTTTAATATTTACAACAAAGAAATCCCAAATCATTTTTAGCATAGTCTTACCCTTATGCGTACGTGGCTAAAAAGGACCGTAAGGTTTTCATCTTATTAACGTTCGACAGAATGTACGATTATTTAAAAAGTTCCCTTACACATTTGTGAGTGTAAGTACCTACATTTTATATACTAAAAATGTATAATTGTTTATAAAAAAACTGAAATATAAATTTTTTGCGTTTTTATCACTTCATAAATCTAGTCTTTATAGTCAAATAAGATATAGATTACCTTACAAATATCCGAGATGCCATATTAGAAAAACAAAATTATGAAATCATCCATTTGCAGAATTTGTAAAGTTTATAATTTAAGCAACGTTAATTTAAAAGTGTATGAAGATAGTTTATTGCAATTTTTGAGTAAAATGAAGTGATATTATCAGTATTTTTTTATTTGCAATTATTATTATTTTGATCTTTGAGTTTCTAATTTTTTTATTATTAATATTGTAAGTTTTTTATTATTAATATTGTAAGTAAGTTAGTTACAATCTTCGGTTTTGTATACATAAGGTGTTTACCTGTTACTGGTTTAGTTTAAGCTAGTGGCTTTAATATAAATCAAATAGACACGAGTATATGTAACAGCTGTTGGAAAATTAAATAAACAATATAATATGTATATATTAATTAATCTATGCTTCAATTTTCCTCGACTCAGCACCGCTAATCGCAAAATGAAGATATTCCAAAAAAATAGATCTATTTTTGTTCAGGCATGGTCCGTTGAAGCAGGAAGTAGATGTAGCTGGCTATAAGGGGTTCTATGGGTTAATTAAAACGCTCCACTTCAACGGGATGGCATACAAAGCAAAGCCATAAAGAAATTAATTAAATTGTGAAAAATAAAACCCTTAAATATCAGACGATTGCAATAAAATGTGTTGATTAGATATAATACCACGAAGACATTGTCGTTGTTTTATACGAGTACATAGAAATGTTGCTCTCTCCTCAACACAAAACACCGATTTATTCTCAAAATAGACTGATGCTGCAGTAAGTCCTACATAAGTCAGACTTAGTGAAGTGTCACCGAAAGGATCACAGCACATCGCAGCTGTGTTAAACCAGCATATAATAAATCAACAGTAACGAACAAAGACTTCTATGTATACTACTAGACAAGCTACGCAGTACAAAAAAAATGTTCGCAAATTTTTTACAATTTGCTCAGTCCACCGATATACTGCACACCAAATACTTTGTCCACCGATAGCAAGACTTAGTATTGTCAATATTATAAGCCAGTAAAACAATAATAAATGGTGACAGATATAAACGAAATCTCTGAGGTGTGGAAAATATGAATATTATTAGTCGTTATTTCAGGACCCTCAATCGAGGGCATTTCCATCCAATGATCCTGGAAGTGATTTAAAACCAAACATTCAAGAATCTAAAGTTAGTGTAGCCATCAAATATTTGAAAAATCCATAGGCAGAGATTTTATTCTAATTGAGACCATAAGAGCCTTAGGGGAGTACGATGTCAACAGTTTCACACCATCTGCAATAGGATATAACAGACTAGGACGTGGTCGACCGACTGGACACACACAGTCTTCACATCCCTTCATAAAAAAAAATCCAACTAAAGTAAATAACAACTATCGCCTGAATGTCCTTATATCGCACGCAAGCATATCATGTTATACATTCTAAACGAACGACTGAAGGCATATCTCGTGCGAGAAATTGCACCAGAACAGGATGGATTTGTGAAAATGAAGGACACCAGAGAACAAATATTCATTATACGCCGCCAGATTATCGAGAAGGCTAGAGAATGTAACAAACCGCGTTAATATGCTTCGTTGATTTCTAAAAGGCTTTGACTCGGTGAAATGGCCAATGCGCTGGAAGTGGGTGTACCAAAACACTTTGTTCATATTTTAGGACGACTTTATGAAGATAGCATAGCATCAGTTCGAACAGACACTAGATTTGACAGATAATTTCTAGCCCACTGCAGGATGTACGACAAAGATGTATATTGCCATCACTCCTTTTCAACGCTTATATGAGAATCACTCTCGAAGACTGGACAGATGATGCCACGATAAGTGATTACAATATGCTACATAGATGTTACAACCCTATTTCCATCTAGTATTGGCCGTACAGAAGAACTACTCCTGAAAATGGAACGTGTCAGTCATATGTTCGGCTTGAAGATTAATCGCAATAAAACAAAGGTGATGATTACTCAGATTGCCAATTGTATAGTGTGAAGTAACCAAATATATATATTTGGGGGCGTTGATTTCAAGTGAGGAGAGGCGAAGAGGAGAGTTTTCATTGAGGAGGTAAAACGACGTATGACTATAACAAGAGCTGCAATGGATAAGATGAGGAAAATTTGAAAGAACTATAACATCACTAAAGCCACTAAAACCTCTAGTATGCACACATATTTTCCATCATTTTATACGTGAACGTTTCGAGATATTGTGAAAAATATGATAGATGCCCTAGAAATGTGGTGTTTCAGACGATTGCTTTGGATATCTTGGACAAAATTTCATACCAATACTACGAGAATTTAGGTCAAGCAACGTCTGTCTAATCTTGTACAGAATCTTTATTCCCAAATTTTTTTTGGCTACATTTCAAGGCGAAACAATGATTCCATAGAATGTCTCGTCGTCCAATCACCGATGCGAAGAGCCGAACAAATAAAGTCCACGGCAGGTACGCGTCTACACGAGTGCTCAAAAATGTCGATTTACAGGGAGAGATGGCGAGATATCGTGATATGAACTACATTGGTCACTCCAGCAGATGTATTGATCACCACTACTCTGGCAAAAGTGTTACGACTGAGAAGAAGAAATGAGTTGAATTATTTAGTCCATATGTAAGTCGGTAAAATTAAAAATAACGTCTAATGCAAATAAATGGGCGCAACGGGCACATTCACAATAAAAATAGTAAATTATTTTGTGTATCGTATCATGTTAAATTAATAAAAAAAAATTCTAATGTAAAAGTAATAAGTTTTAATGCTATTTACGAAAATCAGCACAATATGATAAATATGAAAATGAACTGTCTCCTTTATATCTGCCATAACCAAAAAAAAAAAAGATAAAACTTAGATTTTAACTATGAATTACAGAAGAACCATAAGGTTTATTCATTTATTATTTCTACGGAACCTTTGGTGCTTGAGTCGAGCTCGCACTTGTTTGTTTTTATTGAAAGTATAGATGAAATATACTTATAACATTATAAAGAAATGTTCAATTAATTTCGTTCGACAAAATGGTTTCAATATATATACAAAATGGTTTCTCGCCAAAGTAATCTCTGTTGGACACAGGGTGGCGTAAAATAGGAGTACCTAATCCGGAAACATCTGCCGTCGCACGATCAGCGATGAAGTTATATTCGGAAGAAGTTTTCCGAATATTGAGAGTATATTACCAAGAATTATTTAATGTGAGGAATTCGGAAACAGAGTAAATGAAAAATGTGATTGTATCCTATATTAGCAAGCTTCAGTAAAAAGCTTATACTAGACCATTAATAAGAATGTCGGATTATGATAATAAAAAGTGCGCGGGCTAATTAATTAATTAGTAACAACGTACGGAATAAACTACTTAAAATATGAAATAATTTGAGAAAAATGTATTTAATGTTATTTTTGTCAAAAAGAAGACAATTTCAAAGTTTCTTTAAAAACAAAATCTTTACTCATAAACCTTAATATTTTGACCCTTATAAGGTCTACTTACTAAGACATTCCAAACCGTTCCAACCGTCCTACTAGACACCTTAGTCGATTCACAATAACACATACGCAGCGATGACGCAAATAGAACGGTTTCTAATATTGTAATTTAATTACATGAATTTATTTTTCACGATTTTAGCCCCATAGTCCTTATATTGTTTCTTAGTAACCCACATTTGTTTAGAAGCTGGCATGCCAGCAAAAGTTGCCCCTCCTAGCCAAGCGACAGCATAAGCCTCCGATGTCATTAATATATTAACTGGCTTGTGTGTTATTTCTTCTACTTCTGTTGCCAATCTTGTACTCAGACCAGGAATCATCGACATTCCTCCACACAGAACAACTGCTTCGTATAGCTCTGACCGCAAGTCAGCATCGCACTTCATAGCAGCAGTGACTATAGCTTCTTGTAACGCTATAACATTAACGTTAGGTCCCATTATTACTCGAGGTTGAAATATCATTTCAGCACCCATGAATGCTTCGTAACCAATATCAATTTTTTCACCGCTGGGTAGTGTATATATTCTCTTATAATCTTTCCGTGACATTGATATATCTTGAGTTATATACAAATAACGTTTCATGCCCTCTAAAATTTCTGGTGTACGAATCCCAAAATCATGATAATTCTTCTCTGCTAAACTCTCTTTGAAAAAATTTGCAAATTGCGCACCAGCATAGTTAGTTTGCATATGAGCGTAACGAATAAGTCCACCTTCGTACACTGGACATACATCGGCAGTGTCGTATCCTAAGTCCACTGATATTCCCGTAGAGTATCCAGAACCGTACAAGGAGAGCACAGCTTGAGATTGAATACATAAAGCCGGAATGTTTAAAGTTTCAAAAATTATTTCACAGCACTTCAATCTGAAACGTAAAATATTAAAATCAAAATTGTTAAATTTTGAAATCATGCGATCTTTAGAACACTAAAAACCAGTTACAATTTCGTATAAAAATTTAATACAAATGGATGTACTGATAAAATAAATAAAAATAATCACTACGAAATGATAAAGAAAATAAGAGAAAAAGAAAAAATATTTGGGTACTCAAATCCTTAAAATCGTTCTGGGTCGGGAGTCGGGGTGGAATTCCTCTTAAATCGATTCGCCACATGATACAACTTTCCACACGATTAGGACGCGGATCTTACATCCCACAAAGAATTTAGATAACATTTTGTTTTGAAAAAGTATTTTATTGGATCATATTTATGGAATCAGACGGTTAAAACACAAAAAGGTTTGATTAAAATTCCAAAATTGGATAAGCAAACAAATAAGTAGATATTAATATAAATATTCTCTCGTGTGTAAGCATTACATGTAGCTACATTATTTTCAATGGATTGATTAATAGAATTTCTTCAAATATTGCTCGTATTAATAACAGATTTTAAAGAACAACTTTCTTAATTACACTCAACTGAAGACTGCTAAGTAATATCCCTCTAGACCATCTTATAACGACTCTCTCCAGACTTGCTTTGTACAAGACTATACTCAACTTAGACTTGATAGTCATTTCTGTTTCTTGAAAACATGTATATAGAAATAAATATTTGAATATGAATGATAAACTAATGTAACAAATAATAAACGACTTCAGATTAATGTGAACTTACTTATGAAATCCTTAACATCTATGAGATCTTTTTACTTAATCATTAAATGATATGCGCAACTATTAGAATTTGTTGATTACAATAAATCAAATTCTCGATTTACAGTTACATCGAAACTAAAAAGTAAAATATTGTTTTCTCACTTTTCGTCCATTGAAGAAACAGCGGAACAAGCTAACATCATAGAACGATCTTCCGGAGCCACCTTTAACTCTTTGTAAAATAAGTAATGCCAGATGCGCTCCATATTATCCCAATGGACAATCCTTCCATTTACTATTGGCTGGTTAAGATCTAATTCATCTATCTTTGCTACGGCTTCGTCACCTTTAAAGAAGATTATTACGGCTTGCCTTCCTCTTACTCTGACGTCAGTGGCGACTGGCGAACATCGGTTAAACGTAGGAATAAACACGACTTCTAAACAAAAACTGCAGTAGTCAAGTGCAGCAAGTGTCCCTTAGAAATCCTGCTTATATTTATAGTTGGAAGGAAATCAAGGATATTTCTAGATATATGAATACTTATGCTTTTTAATGTAGATTCTGAAAAACATAATAAGTATTTATATATTTAGAAATTATGATGACGCCTATTATTATATAAGTATATTATACTACCATTATAAAGAGGAAAATATGACCGTTTGTTTGCATTGAATAGACTCCGAAACTACTGGACTGATTTTAAATTTCTTTCACTTATAGGAAGCTACATCATACGCCGATGTCTTAAGCTATAAATTTACGAGGGCAAAGTCACGGGAAAACGGCTAGTTTAAAATAAAGATGAAAGTTTAATTTATCGAAAATAGACTTGTTATTTTGACATAATAACACCAAAATCCTGCTAAGGAACATACCAAGATATCCTACAATTTTATAAATATAAACGTAAAAGTTTTAAATACAAACCTATATGTACATCATAATATTCGCGTCCATAGCCCCCGTTGAGATAACTAGGTCTTCCTACAACAGTTCTAAACATAGCAACTGGATGATTATCACAAGAAAATCCGGCTTTGATATTATAACTTCCATTGTCGATGACAACTACTGGTTTTTCGAAAGACATTCTCAATATATCACTTTTTAATTAAATATTAAATTATATTAGAAATAATTAAGATTACATAAAATATTACAATTTTTAGTCACAGTTCTTACGATGAACTTTACATTGTTGTGATTTTTTATAAAATGACAAGTGCAATATAATCTTTTGACGCTATCGTTGAATTTGCTAAAGAGATTTTAATTTCAAGCTTTTAAAAACGATCATACCAAATAAGTATACTAAAATAAATTTAAAAACTTATTGCAGATAAAACACATAGATGTAAACTTGATATAATCACTCAGAAAACAGTACCTATTTTATTGGTACAATTTAGAATTTTAGGAATGTATTTAATGGCGTCTAATATTTATTTATTTAATTTTTTACATGAAAACGAAAAACCCTAAATTGTATGACGTATCGCATACAGTATGCAAAAAAAAACAAATTTGCAAAGCGAATGTTTATTTCTGCGACGTTTGGCTTGGCGATCAAACCACTTCGTTCAACAACTACTCGAAAAAATTGAACGGACATTCGTTAAAATACATTTACATCGTACGAGGCTCTTTTTCCACCGACAAACTAGTCACTATTTCATTTAATGAATTTTGCTGAACTTTGTTTTTTAAACCTACCAAAAGAACGTAGATACTAGTGATGAGCCCCTCACTCGTGAGGTGACTCGTTTGAGTTCCTCATTTTGACAAAATGAGGGAGTACTCGTTTTTCAATTTTGAACCACCTCATTAAGCTCCTCACTTTTTGAGTGAGGAGCTAAATGAGGTGGTGGAGTTTTTGAGTGAAGAGCTAAATAGCGAGTTGTTTCGAATGAAAAGGCGACTCGATACATACTCAATATATTCAAGATTGAGGGAATGGGTTAAGTTTTATGAGTTTTTGGGAACGCTTCAGGTTTGTTTATGTGTTTCTTCGCAAATACGTATTTAATATTTTATAGATAAATGATATTAATTAGTCTAAGTAAAAACCAAAGTTAATAAAAATGTATCGGTTTTATTTAGAAATATATTTATATGATTCGAAATATAAATGATTGATTTTTAAAATGAAGCATTAGGCACTATTGCAAATAAGTTGCGTGTTGTGGTAATTCTGTTAAATAATAATCTAATAAAGTTTATTTCTTAGATTCTAAAGACAAAATATGTTTTGTTTAGCATTATTACCGACTCCCTCCCTCATTTTGTACCAAACGGCAATATTGCACGCGCCTCGCTACATACTCATTCACTGCTACTATAACATTACCTATCCTCACCTCAAATGAGTGGTAACTCACGAGCCCCTCACGAGGAAAAATGAGGTCCTCACTCATCCTCATTAAAAAAGAGTGAGTAACACAACGCTAGTAGATACTGCCGCAGAATTGACAAGTGAAATGATTACATCGTTTGATCCAAGGTCAAAAAGCTCATATACTCGAATTTTCATTACAACATTTATGATTTACTTGACTATTCAAGATTCCATTGCAACCAAATGAAACTACATGAGGATGTAAATTCTGCGTTTCTAAATGTGCAAAAATAAACGTAATTTGTTTAAGGCAAGTAATTAATAGTTTCTGTAGTTTATTTTTAAAGGGGAAATGTATCAAATGCTGAGTAGTATATCTAATAATCTAACAGACTCGAATCACGAACTCAGCACAATGGTACAATCACGAAAATGGGTTTATCCGATCTGCAGAAATCTGCTGAAACTAATGTACTGAATTAAAAAGCTATGATTTGCGTAATGTTGGACATTTGCGTAATGTATAACTTTGCATTTCTATTCATGAATAAAAGGTAAATACCATCTGATTTCCCGCGAATTAACCTGTGTAAATTATAGCATTTAATTTAGCTTCTTATAGGTGAAAAAAATTAAATTGGAACGGTTTTGGAGCCATATTCTATGCAAAAGAACAATCAAATATTTATTTTTACTTATTATAATAAATAAATATTTGAACTATTATATTTTGAAGATATTAGATGAATGATTACAGTATCATTTAAAAAAAAATCATGTTAGATATAGAATAAATATTTGTTGCTAGCTGTCAGTCAACCGCAACTCATGGGTTGCCAGGTGTAAACAAACAAGTATGTTGGTAATAGGCTAATTGACATTTTTTTATTTTATAAATAAATCAAATATTTTATAAATATTTAAAAAATAATGCAGAATTTACAGCATGTCTGCGATTAATAGTTTCGGAGATACTGTGCTGAGTTTGTGGAATTGCTGCTAGTCGGCCGTAAACGTTTCCTACAAATTTAAGGCTGTAAGTATATAATCACACAGTGTTACTGTATCTTATTTTGTTGTGCGTTTATATTTATATATGTCATGATGAAATTTGTTACATTTTATGTAATTAATTTAATGACCTAATAATTTTTGCAAATCTTTGTAATATTATAATATATTGTGTTTAAGTTTTCAAAGCGTAATATTTCCAAGTTAGTATCATAAAACATATTTTCAGAACATATAACAGAAACATATATTTTCACTTATAGGACACAAACTAACTATTTACACTTAGGTGTTATTTCATTAAATTGTATGTATATTTTTTGTTAAGACTATTTATTGTGTATGACATACGGTTTCCTATAAAATAGGTACCACAAGCAGAGTTTGCTAATACTTAAATTTGATTATCCAATTGTGCAAAAGAGACGAAATCTATGAGATGAAAGTATTAACCGCAAGTCTTCTATCAAAAAATCTTTTCATAAGTCGCCTTCCATACACCTTTGTCCGCCTCCTTTATGACCATCTTCACCCTATAACTCACTTCCATTTCATCCAGCATCAAATCCCATACCAAATCCATATAACAGAAAATAACCGTAGGGGAACGTCAATAGCATTACGAGTATGTAAAGAGAAATATGTTTACAAATCCTGCTCTCAAGCTTATAATAATCCCGAAATCGTTGACGATGTATTATGTAGTTAATGCAACATTGGATCATGGTTTATTTTAATTTAAAATTCAAGTAATTATTATAAACTTTTTTTAACAAACACGTAACATAGTTCTGTGGGCTTTCATTGTTAGATAGCAAAACTTAAGGAGGCATCCCTAGTGTAGTCTGGGTAGATTACTGCTATTAATTCGGTGCAGTATAAAAACACCGCGCTTTTCAAAGAAGAGAAAATTCATTCTTATCACACACTTTTATATTAATACGAGTATTATTATTTTAAATAATTCAGTAATATTTGGCCTTGAAGACTTCTTTAAAAAAATAATTAATATTAGGTTCTTACATATGAAATAGGCGTTTTGTCGTACTGGCCACTTTAATCACAAATTTCTCCTCCTTGGTTGGGAACTCCAAATTCAAATTTACACATGTATTTGAGTTTCGTTAGGCGGCAATTATTTGATTTTTTTTTCTTCTGTTTGTTCTATTTACGTCACCCAGTATAAAAAATGGAAACCTTGAAATATCGTGTTAATTACGAGTACGATTGAGCAAAGCAAACCGGCAAACGCGCTTCGACTACTGCGTTACATTACTTAACCGGGTTTTTAAATCGAATCATTACCTATGATGGAAAGTGGATTTACGATAATCGGAAGCGCTCATCGCAATGGTTGGACACTGGGATGCCAGCCAAATCCTGCCCTGCAAAAGTATGTTTACGTTTAATCTGCATTGAACAATCATCATCATACTATTATTACCCACACTGCTGAGGTTCTTATCTTCCCTAAGGATGAAATCAAATGATGAAAAACGAAAATAACCCACCGTGTGAACCTTGTACGGATTGATGGGAGTTAACAACTGCAAATGCAGCCACAACATATGGCTTATCGTACCTTTCGAAGCACGGAGAATTTTGGTCACCCATCCTATTACTAGCCCTTACGAAACTCTAAAATATAATTTTTTGTTCACAGTTCTGGTCAGCCTTCGTGCCGTGTGCTACTCAGAATAAGGATGCAGTCCAGCTGACTCTTGAACAGATTGACGTCATCCGACGCCTCGTCGACAAGTATCCACAGCATTTGCAATTTGCCACCTCTGTTACCGGTATGGAAATATTTTTATACTGAAATAAAAAATCATTTCTGTGGTGATTATTTCTATTAAGAGCAATACTTAGTAACGAGGCAGTTATTTGGTTATGTTAATTAAAGTTTTAAAGTATAAGATCCAAAGTGCCATGTTTATTAAAGAAAACTCCGAGCCGAGTGGGTCGCACGCCGGTTTCAAGGTGTCGCCATCTCTGAGGTCCCGGGTTCGATTCCCGGTCGGGTCAATGTAGAAAATGAACTTTTCTATATTGACTTGGGTCTGGGTGGTACCTTCGTTGTCTCAGATACTCCATAATACGGGGGCTTTAGCTACTCATCTTGGAATCTGAGCAATATATGTGATGTTGTTAAATATTTATTTATTATTTATTATTATACGCGAGGGAACTAGGCTACAATTTACGCGATGTTTCAGGAAAATAGTTAATAATACTTAAAAGGCCGTCCAAACCAAAATCATTAACTTCCAGTTAATTTTAAAGAAGTCCAAATGACCTGTCGTGAATACGTTACATTGTAACTGAGAAAACTGTATACTCGTATAATATATGAATTTTTGATATAGAAAAATTAGCAAGATACCTATAAAATTCTTAATTTTATTTATTTTCTTAATATACTGTTTTATTCTAGGAAAAATGATAAATGATGCTTCACATAATCATTTTATAGCAGAGGGTTATATTTTCAATTAATTTTGATGATTTGCCATAAATAATAATTAATTACAATAAGTTTCAACGCTCTATAACAAACATTATGCCATCATCTGTATCATTGACTGGCCATTGTATTCGTCTCGTTTCACTTTATTATCGCAGCCAATATTAATTTTTTTAATTATTACCACATGATAATCCTTTTCTAATTAGGAAAACTACCACCAACATAATATAACTTATCATTGAATAATGCCCATCAAAACTTTTCACCACAAAAGCTGAGTGTGATTTGAAAAGTTACGCTTGGTAGCAATGAATTACTAAAGATCGCCTAACTTTCCACTACCTACGGCTATTTTCTATTATATCTATCAAAACTTTCATGTATACAATGTTTTATTGTCTAGCAGGGGTATACACTGCTTCGTGAAATATTCAATCTCTCTAAACTTCATTATAACGATGTTTCTACTCAAAAATTGTGATAGTAAAATATAATGTCATGAGTAGAAGAGCTATATATGCATATAGTAGCTTTTTGGCGTTTTCTAATACTAGACTACTTGCTTTTTTTGTTGAAAACCCCTTTGTGTTGCCGTGAATTTGAAAATTTAGATATATTTTGCTATTACAACTCATTCTAACCTTCTTGGTCGGTATAAAATATTTTTTTCTAACGGCTCTACTTTATACATATTACGAGTATCTATCCATATATAAAAGGTGATGTCCTGACTTACTGACTGACAGACATCGCATAGCCTAAACCGCTAGTCGTAGAGACTTATAATATTATTTCTAAAGATTTCCTAATATTGTGATAAAAATTGATATTTGAATATATAACTGATAACAAAATTAATATTATAAATATATATTTTTGAAAATATTCAAGTACAAATCACAAACTATAGATTCATTCTATACCAGATGGCGTTAAGTATTTCATCAAGGTTGAGTT